TTTAATATTTATTTTTTAGTTCTCGGCGGACACAACATCTTTGTTGATATGTGGTGCTGAGGATCGAACCCGGGCCGCACGCACGCCAGGCGAGCGCGCCACCGCTTGAGCCACATCCCCAGCCCTGGAAGATAAATTTTTAAAAATTGGTATAGTCGGTATATAGTAAGTACGGTTGGACAGATCTTGAGTGTACTATCTGATACATTTTTGTGAATTTGTGAGTAGTTTCAGTTATGTAACTACTACTCAAATCAAGATATAGAGCTTTACAGGTGCCCCAGAAGCATTCAATACTCATACCTTTCAGTGGTAACTAGTACTCTTTTATAAGGATTAGTTGTTGTCTTTAGACTTCTTGTGCTTCTTAAATTAAATGGTGTATATCAAGCAAATGTGCTCTTACTTCATAGAGTATGGATCATACTCCACAAAATACGTACTCTTCCGTGTCTGATTCTTTCTTTTGGCATTACATTTTGAAGCTTCATACACGTTTTTGCATGCAAGGGTAGGCAGTTCGTTCTTCTTTATAGTACCCACTGAATGAATATATCACAATTTGTTTTTGTAGTGTACTAATGATGAAAATCTTAGTTTCATGCTTTGAATGATTTTGACTAATGCTTCTAAGCAAAGGTTTTACATATTGTTTTGGTAGATATATGTACACAGTTATGTTAGATGTTTACGTAGGAACCTAGTAGTAGAATTGCTGGGTCATTGCTTACGTGTATCTCCTACTTGAGTAGATATAGCCAAGCAGTTTTCCAAAGTGATTGTACCAATTTACATTTTCACCAACAATTTGTGAGAGTTGGGTTTGCTCCATATGTTTGCCCATATTTGGTTTTCTCTAAAATTAAAGCAGCTGATTTCTTTTCCTTTAAAATATATATAATACTAGGGATTGAACCTAGGGGTGCTTAACCACTGAGCCACATCCCCAGCCCTTGTTATTTTTATTTAATAACAAGGTCTATATAAGTTGCTGAGGGCCTCCTTAAGTTGCTGAGGCTGTTTTTGAACTTGGGATCTTCCTCCTCAGCCTCCTGAGCCATTGGGATTACAGGTGTGTGCCACCACGTCTGACAAAGAAAGACTGACTTTTGATAAATATAAAGTAGTATTTTATTTTCTTCTTAATAAGCTGCATAAAAGTTGACATACATACAGAAGTATGCAAAAGTATATTATAGCTCCACAATTTTTTTTTTTTTTTTGGTACCAGGGAATGGACCCAGAGGCACTTAAACACTAAGTCACATTCCCAGCCCTTTTTATTTATTTATTTTTTATTTTGAGATAGGGTCTTACTAAGTAGCTTAGGGCCTGGCTAAGTTGCTGAGGCTGGTTTTGAACTTGGAAACCTCCTGCCTGAGCTTCCCAAATCACTGGGATGATAACCATCATGCCTAGCTCCACAAATTTTTAATACATGACCAAATTGTTTTCCAATTTGACTATCATTTTTTGTCCCCACCAGCAGTGTACAGAGGTTTTAGTTCCAGTACTATCCTAGTCAGTACCTTGTCATTGTCTGTCTTTTCTGATTATAGTCATTGTGGCGGTCACAATCATTATGAAATGGTGCCACTAGTACATTTCTTTTTAAAAATGTTTTTATTAATGCTTTATAGTTACATATAATAGTGAGGTTCATTTTGACATATTCACAAATGCATATACCATTATTTGCTCCATCTCAATCTCCAGTACTTTCTCGTTTTTTCTCTTCCTGTCTCCCTGATCTAGCCCCTTTTCTACTGTATTGGTCTTCCTTCTTAATACATTCTTACATGTGTCTTAGGTGATTATATATGTGTATTCTATTGGGGATATGCTAAGGAGTGGAATTGTATCATGGGTTATGTATCTGGCTTTGGAAGATATAAAAGAAATTGTGTTCTAAAGTAATTGTTGTTGGGCTGGGGATGTGGCTCAAGCGGTAGCGCGCTCGCCTGGCATGCGTGCGGCCCGGGTTCGATCCTCAGTACCACATACCAACAAAGATGTTGTGTCCGCCGAGAACTAAAAATAAATATTAAAAATTCTCTCTCTCTCTCTCTCCCTCCTCTCTCACTCTCTCTTTAAAAAAAAATAAATAAAAATAAAGTAATTGTTGCAATTTACACTCCTATGGACAGCATTGAGAGTTGTAGTTGCTCTAAGTCCTCATCAACACTTTCTTTTTTTCATTTTAGCCTTTCTGGTGAGTATATGGTGGTAAAAATATTATAGATTTGATTTTCATTTTCCTGATGTCTAATGAAGTTGAGTAACTTTTTCATATTTTGTTTGGGCATTTAGATATGCTGTATTATGAAGTTCCTGTCAAGTTTTGTCATTTTTTTTCTTATTGATTTGTACTTTTTCAAAAAATATTATGATATAGCTGCTTTGTCAGATGTTGTGTACATTGTAGACATTGGTATATCATGCAGAAATATCATGGTTTGTGGCTTGCCTAATTTTTAAAAAATATTTTTTTAGTTACAGGTGGACACAATATCTTTATTTTTATTTTATGTGTTGCTGAGGATCGAATCCAGTGCCTTACGCATGCTAGGCAAATGCTCCACCTCCAAGCTACAACTCCAGCCCCGTGGCTTACCTTTTTATCTATAAATGGTTTCTTTTGATAAAAACAACTTCTTCATTTTCATGAAATGTAGTTTATTTTCTTTTAAAGGTAATGCTCTTTATGCCCTATTTGTTTGTTGTTGGGGCTGGAGTTGTAGCTTACTGGCAGAGTGCTTGTCCCTCACGCGGGAGGCCCTGGGTTCGATTCTCAGCACTATATTAAAAAATAAATAAACAAAAATAAATATTTTTTTAAAAAAAGTTTGTTGTTACCCGAAGGTCTACTCTGAGGTGTCATTCAATGTTCTAAAAATTTTATTGTTTAATCTTTCACATTTAGTTGTGGTATATTTGAAGTAAGCTTTTATATATGGTGTGGGATTGGAGTCAGGATTTCACTTTCTAGATGGATACCCAGTTGAAGAAGCATCATGTACTGGGAAGTCTTACCACTCTACCTGCATCCCTCTATTATATGGAATTGATATTTTGTGGCCTGATAAGTAGCTATATCTGCATAAGTCTATTTCTGGACTTCATTCTGTTATATTGATCTATTTTTTTAAAAATACATTTGACTTTGTTTCATTGTTTTAATTACTGTGACTTTATAATAATAAATATTAATATCCGGGCTGGGGTGGTACCTGCCTACCATGTACGAGGCACTGGGTTTGATTCTCAGCACTGCATAAAAATAAATAAAGGTCCGTTGACAACTAAAAAGTATTTTAAAAAATATTAATATCTGGGAGCTTAAGAACCTTTTCACTATTCTTGGCCCCTTATTTCTTTTCTTTTTTGGTTCTAGGGATTGAACTCAGGGTACTCAACCACTGAGCCACATCCCCAGCCCTATTTTATATTTTATTTAGAGATAGAGTCTTACTGAGTTGCTTAGCCTCTGGCTTTTGCTGAAGCTGGCTTTGAATTTGCTGTCCTCCTGCCTCAGCCTCCCAAAGCTGTTGCGATTACAGGTGTGTGCCATTGCACCTGGCATGCCTGGAATTTTGATTGGAATTGCTTTGAATCTTTAGATCAATTTGGGGGGAACTAATATCTTAATATGGAGTCTTTTAATCTCCATCTTTTGTTTAGTGCTTTTTTTTTTCTTTTCAAATATTCCAGTATTTTAAACACACTGGTTCATTGAATCCTCCCTTTTGTAAGAGGTCTTTTTTCAATCTGGGTGAGCTTGCTATGTAGCTCTTATCTTGAATACATTTTTCTTTATTGGGTTAGATTCATTAATTCTTGGGTTCTTATTTTTCTTCTTAGTTTATTACCTTATTTTTTGAAGCATTTCAAGCAGGAATTTCCTAAAAAAAATTTTATACTTGTGATTTCACTGTAATTTAGTAATGTTTTATGAAGAACAGTTTATGAATATACTGTACTATAAGTCTCATAAATTTCAAAGAGTTACATAAGTTTCCTTCATATGGAAATATCAAAAGTGAAGGTTTTATGGAAATTATTAGGAAGGAAAATCATCTGTCCCTTCACTGTGCAGAGATAAACATTAATTATTTAATTAATGTTTTATCATATAACCTTATGGCTTTTTCCTTTGGACATCTATATAATTTAAGTGTATCGAGTGAATTTATTTAAAATTTATAATTAGCTGGGCGCAGTGGCGCAGGCCTCTAATCCCAGTAGCTCAGGAGACTGAGATAGGAGGATGGTGAGTTCAAAGCCAGCCTTAGCAACAGCAAGGTGCTAAGCAAGTCAGTGAAAACCTTTCTCTAAATAAAATACAAAATAG